CAGATGGAAAATTATACATACGCTAACGTCACTTCGTTCCTTCTCGTTAATTTTAGTTGCCTGCTACCGCTTACTATTTCCTTCGCATGCTACACAGAAAGATTTGAATTTTTAAAAGAGCTCTTAGTTTCCTTTCGATTTGACAACGAGATTTAATGGTAACTTTCGGTGCTATACATGACACAGCACCCTCTGGTTATCCCCTATTCACCCCCATAAGATGTGGTAGTGCAAGTGGAGCACTATAACGCACGCATGGTCACGGGTTCGAATCCCGATCGATATCTGCCTGGGACAACCTAGCCTTCCATCCCTTTAGGGCCGGCTATTTAGTGCCTAACACGTCTGGGAGGATAAAATCACCGACGTCACATTGGCTGGCCACCGCAAGTCATTGTAAAGGCATCCAAAGGCCCATGCGCATCCGAAACGCTACTACGATTCTGAACGCAAGTCGAATGCGAGGGCACACTCCTCAGAAAAGATCAATAAACGCCAGCATTGTATCCTTTACACTTTACCTTTATCTCAAGATTTTCTCAGCACGGAAGAATTTCATTGAAGTTGTTAGAAGGCGTTAACTGACTCCCTCGATTATAGCTCCCCTATTTGTGTAGAGAGAGAGGACGTTGACTTGCCTATGAGGTGGGAAATCATAGTGATTTGCGATGGCGATTACATTGATAAATAGATTCCATCAATGAAGCAGAAAAAGAAGGTGGGCTCAACACCTCCTCAGTGGGAAACTAATTCGCCTTCGAGAGAGCTTGAGCCGATTGACATTTTTCTTTTCACAAAGTCGGACGCTTGATCCTCAGTAAAAGGTCAAAGTGACTCCATAGAATCTGCATCTACTACAACAACTATTGAGACTGCGCAATGGGTTATATTAACTGAAAGATACAAAAATTCGCAACTTACCAGAAGCTCGTGCTTGTTATCCACTATAGCAATACCTTCATCAGAATTCAATTCGTAAAACTCCTTCAATTCGTCGTAATCATTCCTGTCTACAGCATATTCGCTAAAAATAATAGTAGCTAGAGAATTATCAATTGGTGTCGACTAAAACAAAGTGCAACTACCTGGCAGAACCCTTCCACAGATCGTAAACCGTCAAAACGTCCTTTTTGATTTTGGGAATTACCGTCTTCTTATGAACAAAATACACGTAGCGCGTAGAACCCACAGATGTGGCCATACTTTCAAGCGCGCCTCGATCTGAACACTTTTTTATTCAACGGAAACGGAATGGAAATAGAATGTAGAATTGGAATCTGATTGGAAGGAAGTTTCTTAAACATTTGGGCATTCAAAAACCAACAGGAACGTACCATGACTGTATTCATTGCGCCTTGGTCCCTTGTCAAGTGGAAAGAGTTCGTGTGCCAACGTAGTCATGGCCAAACACTCGTTGTCTATCGTCGCGAACTACCAAATAAGATGGCCTTCTTATGAGCCTTACGAAGTGTGAATTGGTCCAGGGAACGAGATGGTATGCAGGGCTATGATAACCTAAATACTCTGCGTACCCAGTGGGCTTGTTCCAAGCATTTATAACCTAACAGCAAAAGAATAACAGTGCCTGTAATCAATCTAAAAGATCTCCAATATTTGTAGGCAGGGGGAAATACTGAATGAATGCATGCCAAAATATGCGCCTACGTGCTTGTGCATGCAATCTCAGAAAAAGCATCAGCACCGATTTCTGCTTCATTCATGTCCTCCGTTATGGA